AGTGATATAGCTATTGTGTGGATATACTCCATCTAAACTAGAATTATGGTAGGTGGCTTACATTTTGAGTAGGCTAGCGTAACTCTTGCTTCGCCTTATAATTGTCTAACCATTTTGTTGAGTGTTGTTGTAGAAATTTTATTAGGCTATTCACCCCCCCCTCTAGCAATTAGGACCTTTCACCAGCGAAACCATCGCAAGGTCCCAAGAGCAACCCGAGAGGGAGATAAGAGGATGCCAAGATGGGTTCATCAAGCTGGGCGCTGGTTCGCGAACCGAGCAGCAATTCACGGTCCGCAGCGCGTTCTAACGAAGTTAGCCAATTTCTACGAGAGTACCATGACACCTATCGCCACCTCGACCTACACCGTTCTCAAGTGCTCATTTCGACACAGCTGACGGTGCAAAAACATGAAGTTGGTGTTTAGGAAATTTTGTGGATATTTAAATATCAAAGTAGCATTGTCTATCATCTTTTCAGACTTAAAAGGAATTCAAAGTTCCAATTAGAACTAACACTCTCTAGCACTTTTGGTTGAATTTTTAAACGGTCTAAGCCTCGTCAACCTCAACTAAACAACATGTCATGACCTAGCGCATACTTCGTGTTAACTCATAGAAATAAACATCTAGAAATTATTTAACCCGTTTGTTCAGTACAATTCACCAAAGATCGATACTTTTAACATAAACTCAAGTTCCTACCGATTCCCGATGAGCCCTCGTTCTAAATTTCGGGTTTGATTCCCAAGCTATCAGATTTACTATTAAACAACTTTCACTCACTAAAACAAAAGTTGCATTCTCATCTACTAACTTCGCACTTCAAATTTTTATTTAAGTACTAAATACAAGTTATATTTTATGATAGTTTACAAAAATTGTTTTTCGTGCCAACGATTAAATCTACCCGTCTATTTCCTTGTCGGGATTTTCATTAGCACCTTTATGCGAGTTTTAACTCTAACACCTGAGAAACCTGCCTTGATAATTTCTCTTAGGCCTTAATCTATGTGCTAAGTGAGCTCGTAACATCAGCGGTGTTACAATTTATGACCGAAAATTATTATTTGTAGGAAGTACAAAAGGAGAGTTCATAATAGATATTATAAGCGCAAGAATTTCAACTCCATTTGAGAAAATCTGTAGGAATTAATAAGATTAAAATTAAAAATTAAAAAATTAGGTTCATTATGTCATATAAGACATGGGCTACAACAAGAGTCATTATAGTTTAAGCTAAGCTGCTGCGGTTTCAACTAAATGCACATTAAAGTTACACAAACATTTAGTTAAAGATAAGTTTATCACAATTAGATAGGGACTATTGAGTATCTCCTATTGTATTAGAGAATAAACAAAAAAAACACTAACTAATGTTGATTCCCGCACGGGTTGATGGACTAGTATGGATAATTGTGATGCCATGGTGGTGTTTTTTGCCTATAATATTTATGAACTTGAGGGCCACTTCGATTTATTACAACTAGGAGAGGCGAAGGAGGAACCGGCAGAAGCTATAAATCAATTCATGGCCCAGACACCTTTTTATATCCCATTTGATAGACCTTTTAAAGAGTAGTTGGTAGATCTATTTAGGTTTCCACTGCTAGCTCTCGCCCATGGAGTAAGTACCAAAATCGATCATGCAATTACTTCAAACTAAGCACAAGTTTCATATTGACGTTTGAGGAGGTGACAGTATTAATTCCTTTTAGTGTATCAAAACATGAAAAAAATATGTCCTTTAAAAAACATGTGAAATATACTCGTAAGCATCTTACGTTAATGCATTGGATATAAGTACATAACGGAACTTATGCACTCGAAATGTTTTATTCCTCCACATGTAAAGAGCAGGCTAGAAATTTCACTAAGATTACGACAGAGAAGATCTATAGATCTTGTATGTGATGACTCTAAAAAAACTGTTTGCGGTGTTCAAGATCCTTTTGCCAAATATCTTTGTTAAAACTGCACGCAACAAAAAGAAAATGACGCTCTAAAAAAAGGCAAGTGATATGATACGTGGTAGTTACTCCTCTGTTCTCTCCGTTTAGCCCGTAAATACTGAATGAAACCAGATCAAATCTGGAGGAGAAACTGCGAAAGCCGGCTGAAGTTGACGTCGCTCCGATCCCCCATCAGGCCATCACATCAAGCAACCGGTAATGCAGAGATCTCACTTCTTCCCTCCTCGCTCGCTTGCTGCCCCGATCCGTACTCGTCGTCGCTCCCTCGTGCGCCCCTGCCTGTGGGTGGTTGCCATGGCCTGATTGCGGTTCACGGTCTCGCGTGAGAGCCACTCAAAATCGAATCACCAGCTTTCCTTGGGTTGGTTGGTTGGTTGCCTCCGTGGCGGTTGCAACCGATTTCGGCCGTGGCCAGGCGGGTCTGCGTGCCTTTTCCTCCGCTTCACTCCATTGTCGGCGGATTCCTGCGTAAACTATTGTTGGCGTTTGGCGAGGAGCTCAGAGCTGCGATGCAGATCTGGTGTTCGTTGAAATGTCTCTCTGGGATGCTCTTCGCGTTTCCTGTTGTTGGTGTGATCGCTGCTGCTGATGTTGGCAGTGGTGGTGGGTTTTAAAAAAAAATTGTGATCTGTTTAGTTTGTTGTCTTGTGTTTTGTTAATGACGATGTCCTAGGTCTTGGGGAAAGTGATGTGTATAATGCAAATTATTTTTTATAAAATAGAAAATATTTTAAATTTATTTAGCTAATATTTTTGTGGATATATTTTTGGCCTTGTGAGATGTGTATTAGTAGGAGTACCTTGATAGCACATATGTGCCGACTTGTACTAGGTAGAATTTAAGTACGTATCAGTTAAGCGAGAAAACAGGGGCATTTGTTGACTTGGTAGCTTCAACATGTGCCGATCCATGACTTAGAACTGTGGAAATTGTTGAAGTTTCTCACTAGAGTCTTTTCGTAAACGGTAGCTTAATGAAGAAAAGAAAGGTGGAGTCTTTGTCAGTCTATTGCTAGCATTAATCAAATGACAGTGACTGCAGGCTAAGAAAGTTCTCCCTTTTCCTGCTTACACTCCGTCCGTCTCTCCATAAACAAAACGTCTCTCCAATATTTTTTTCCTTTTAAAATTTTCTTTTAACTTTTAAGTAGATGGCATCAACGCTGGAGTTTCCTTTCAGTAGATCCGGCCTCTGTTTCTTAATCAGCAAACAAAAACACACGTTTTGTTTGGTGGAGAGTAATCACTGGTAGAAGCATCAGCATCAGCTTCCTGGATCTGACTGTGTCCAGGCTATGAAAATTTCTACTGCCTGGGCTCCGTTGATCCGGCCTGCATTTCTCACGTCTCTGTCACCGATGCTGTAACTTTTGCGTCCTCGATTGGTACTCGCTCCATATTATATGGTTCAGAGCCCAATTATTCGTTTGCTGCCTGTAGTTGACCGTGGATTAAATTACATCAACTCTTAGGTTATTCTTCAGACCATGTTCATTGACTTGCTTCCAGTTCATGGGCTACACATGTACGCACCCATCTTGCTGCCTGACCTTACCACTCTCTCTGTGCACTGAACAGAGAGAAGAGCCAGATCTGATCAGAGAGTAATCAGACTGCTCAGTTACACCAAAACTGCTCAATCAGCAACTGATGAAAAAAGAAAAAGGGAGAAGCTTTATCAGCACCTTTTGTTTATGCGCTTGATGGTGCTTGAGAATAATTTTCTTTTTCTGTGAGGAGGAGGTTGAGGGCATAGAAGGCAATGGTTAAGTGGAGTGTCATGGACTCATGTGAGAGCCTTTTTGATTGATTAATGCAAGTTTGGTGGCAGTGGCATGCATGAGCAGCACTCGTCGTCTCCTCAGTTGCTTTTGGTTTCTGACCAGCCTTGACGCGGTTACTACTTTTTTTTTCTACGGGACACGGCACGGTTATTTTTTGAAGCCGAGGGGTAGATCTGATTCAGTGGGTTTGCGGGGCGGGGTATTTAAGGACTCGTGGCCTCGCCTCTCCTCTGCACACACACAAAGCGAGCGTCTCTCTTCTCCCACGCGTCGCGCCAAGGAAGAGAGAGATCGCCGCTCCTCTTCTCTTCGTCGCTGGTGCGGGTGCCCGAGATCTTGCTGCAGTTCCTCGAGATCTGGTGAGACTCGCGCCCTGATCCCACGCTGTTACTTCGATTTTTTTCCTTTCTGATGGGTCCCCCGCCTGATCATGCTAGTTGAGGATCGTGATTTCATTCTGCGGCTAGTTTGTTCCTCGGCTTCGTTCTGCTGCAAGCGGTTGTCTCCTCGAGTTCGTTCTCTGAGGAAGACGCTGACTTCAGATCTGGAAGTTTCGTGGTTTGGATCTGATAGGAGTTACGGTTACGCGTTGTAGTGGCTGAAGAGGATTTGCGCCCCTAAATTCTGTTTCCTTTGCTCCCCTATTGGATCAGAGTTTCAGATCTTTCTGGCTGATCGCAGTTTTAAACGCCGTGTCGGTGCTCATATACATGTAAATTCATTTTATAATTTTGGCGGTCATGGATCTGTATCCTGCCCTTCACTCTGTTTAGGTGGTGTTTGTGTCAGGTAACGGTAGTGCACTTAATGGGATTGGGATCACAGGTGTCTGGTGGTGTAATGGTGTTTACTTAATTTGTCTGGTTCGTCTAAGGAAAGGTTTTAGAAACCATTAATTTCAGATGTATTCGGTGGAGAAGAGGGACCAACCCAATCTTGATCAGCACAAAAACCTGAGATGTGTTGTGCCTGCTTTAACAAACATGAGATCTGAATGCGTCCTAACAGTTCCACCAAAAACAAATCTTTTTAGATGTGGTTTGACCTGGTAGGTAGATGTTGCCAATTGCTATACCTAGTATATCCGAACTCCTATTTATTCAGTTCACTTAAGTAACCTTCTCAGAACATGTTTAGCTATGCTCTGTTATTTCAGTCGTGCACTAGTAGTCTAGTGTTCAGGATCTGGTGCTTTTGCTTGTGAATCCTGATTGTTTCTGTTAACTTGGGAAACTTGGTTGACATGTCCCATCTGTCAGATACTCTCAGGGTATGTGCTCTATTTTACAATCCACTAATGAAGCACCTTTTGCAATTACAGGTCACAGATCTATCTGACAAGATGGTGAAGATCTGCTGCATCGGTGCTGGCTATGTCGGTGGCCCGACCATGGCCGTCATTGCCCTCAAGTGCCCAGACATTGAGGTGGTGGTTGTTGACATCTCCAAGCCCCGCATTGAGGCCTGGAACAGCGACACCCTCCCGATCTACGAGCCTGGTCTCGATGATGTTGTGAAGCAGTGCAGGGGCAAGAACCTCTTCTTCAGCACTGATGTTGAGAAGCACGTCGCTGAGGCTGACATTATCTTCGTCTCGGTGAACACCCCCACCAAGACCCGTGGGCTTGGAGCTGGCAAGGCTGCTGACCTCACCTACTGGGAGAGTGCTGCTCGTATGATCGCTGATGTCTCCAAGTCTGACAAGATTGTTGTTGAGAAGTCCACTGTCCCTGTTAAGACCGCTGAGGCTATTGAGAAGATCTTGACCCACAACAGCAAGGGCATCAACTACCAGATCCTTTCAAACCCAGAGTTCCTTGCGGAGGGCACTGCTATTGAGGACCTGTTCAAGCCTGACAGAGTGCTCATCGGTGGCCGGGAGACCCCTGGGGGCAGGAAGGCCGTCCAGGCTCTCAAGGATGTGTATGCTCACTGGGTTCCCGAGGACAGGATCCTCACCACCAACCTGTGGTCTGCTGAGCTCTCCAAGCTCGCTGCCAACGCGTTCTTGGCACAGAGGATCTCCTCTGTGAACGCCATCTCTGCCCTCTGCGAAGCCACAGGTGCCAATGTGTCTGAGGTGGCTTACGCTGTGGGCAAGGACACCAGGATTGGCCCCAAGTTCCTGAACGCCAGTGTTGGGTTCGGTGGCTCTTGCTTCCAGAAGGACATCCTGAACTTGGTGTACATCTGCGAGTGCAATGGCCTGCCCGAGGTGGCCAACTACTGGAAGCAGGTGATCAAGATCAACGACTACCAGAAGAGCCGGTTCGTCAACCGCGTCGTGTCCTCCATGTTCAACACCGTCTCCGGCAAGAAGATCGCCGTTCTCGGCTTCGCCTTCAAGAAGGACACCGGTGACACCAGGGAGACCCCGGCCATTGACGTCTGCAAGGGCCTGTTGGGTGACAAGGCTCAGATCAGCATCTACGACCCCCAGGTGACGGAGGACCAGATCCAGCGGGACCTGGCCATGAACAAGTTCGACTGGGACCACCCGATGCACCTGCAGCCAACGAGCCCCACGGCCGTGAAGCAGGTGAGCTGCGTGTGGGACGCGTACGAGGCCACCAAGGGTGCCCACGGGCTGTGCATCCTGACCGAGTGGGACGAGTTCAAGACCCTGGACTACCAGAAGATCTTCGACAACATGCAGAAGCCTGCCTTCGTCTTCGACGGCCGCAACATCGTCGACCCCGAGAAGCTGAGGGAGATCGGCTTCATCGTCTACTCCATCGGCAAGCCGCTCGACGCCTGGCTTAAGGACATGCCCGCGGTCGCTTAATTCCCCCTCTCATCCGAGGAGCTCCATGGGTTGGATTCGGGGAAGGAAGAGGAACTTGTTGACCATTCTTTATTACAGTTTGTTTTTTCAGGCTACGCTACGATTTTCTCTCGTGTCAGGCATAAAAGTAAAAGTTGGACGGCGCTGCTAGTATCCCCTGTTTGGTGTATTTCATGTTGGAGGACGTCTTGTAGATGTAAAAATCCTCAGGCACTTGTGCTCTGCTTGAGGAAATTTCCTTGTACGGTTGTACCCTGGACCTGCTATAGCCGGTTGATTCTTCAATTGTATTCCTAAAAGTTATACGATCGATATGTTTCTTTTTTGCAGAATAACACTACTTGTCTCACGTTTCATCCTTTATCTTTCAACAAAGAAGTTTCATCCTTCATCTTTCCACAAAGAATGTTAGTACCCTAGCGCAGTAAAAATGCGCTGTGAACGAAATGCCTGCAGGTAGATTAAGGCACTAGTAGTAGTAGCGCATAGTGCATTCTCTTCTATGATAAAGGTGTAATCTCTGTTTTCCTTTCACATCAACGATGAACGATTCACGTGTATTTGGTTTCCTACCTTCCTGAGCTTGGCTGCGTACCAAAATTTGGCTTAAAGAGATTTTTTTTTTCACTATATGTCACATTCTTCTGGTAAAAGTTGGACAAGCCCCGTTCACCAATTTGATGACCCTAATTGTAACATGCCAGTTTTTACTTGGGTACAACGTGCTTAGTAGGTGAATGTGACCTTACAGCCCCATGATCACCATTCAGATGTCACATGCATTACCTCTAAAACCAATGGACGCCCGTCCTCGTGTCAGGTAATCACTACAACTCTACAAGCATCGGATTTGTGAGTAAATAATCACAAGGTGCAATGCAGCCCTGCAGCAATGAATTTGGCTCCCCATTTTCATAAACATTTTCACCGGCCTCACCAAAGTTCACGGATTTTGCTGGTGCTATTGACGACGCGGCTCGTGCTGGTGAATGACTTGTCCTCCTTCCTGTTTTTATACCATTGGCCTATGGTCCTGCTTTTAGAGCAAGGCTAATAATACAACCGGCTGTTGGCTGTATGAATTCTTACAGCCTATTTCTCAGCCCGCCCATATAATAGTTACATCTTCACAATTAATATATGGCTCACTTGTCTCTCTCGTAGAGTTTTTTTGTTCTTGTGTCCAAGCCGGCTGTACCACTTCTCCTCTCTCTCCTTCCATCTCTCCTCCACCTCAGCATTCAGTCTGCTTACAGCCCCTTATTATACTTGCTCTTATGGCTTGCTTACCGTTTGGAATAGAGGATTTAGAATAGAGGGAGTATTGAAAAAAAATTACTGTGGAATTTAGTTTACAACTTAGTTTTTATGTGCATGAAGGCACCGGCAAGGAAAAAGAAACTACTCTCCACCAAACTGAAAACCTCTCCTAACCGATGACAAGTTAGAAACACCCAGGAAGGTGCAGCGTCGTCCTCATCTCCATTCTCTAGGTTAATCTTTAGATTGTTCAGAAGTTCTTCCGTCTTCTCCAAACTGAAAACATACACCAGCAGTCAAGAAAATAGTCAGGGTGTTGTCATGGTTTCCTGCTGGTGACAGCGAATCTGTCTCCAGATCTTGAATACTTGTTCGGAAATTATCCCAATTTAATTTAAACTCTCTCTCAACCAGCACCCTTGTGTGGCATTGGAGGACAAGATGAAGGGTGTCCCATACATGGACAAGGCACATCCATTGACGGTGCTGAAAGGCGACAACTGCATTGTTTGTGTGATCCATGCTGCGGCGGATCCAACAGTGGGGCTAGCAGAGCCAGAGGGTGGCCTCGAGAATCCTACCAACTCTGGTCCTAGGCAATGAAGCTCCTCTCCATTTTATGCGAAAGAGGAGGAAGAAAAATAGAGAGCAAGAAGGGAAGGAAAAGAGCCCCTCATGATATCTGGCTACCTCCACCTTCGATAAAATTTTCTGGTTACACCTTTGTATTTATTTTTGCAATAGAAGGATTTAAACAATGTCACTTGAGAGTATATTAGGATGGCACTTTGTAGAAGAACTTTTACTGTCATGAAGTTGTAACATTTTTTTACTGAGCGGGGAAATATGTAGATCTACGGAAATTTTGTTGTAGCTTCAGTAGAAAATCATTCTAGCTTTGAAAGAAAATTGTCGTTATAGCTTTTCATGGAAAATGTTTTAGTTTCAGAAATCACAAGAAAATATTCTTAGTTCCGACCTAATCCGCTTGACGCAACCCAACGTCCGTGCAACTTCAAAGGCCGGCGGTGCGCCTTCTCGCGTGAAGAATCCAAAGAACAGAGAGAGGAGCCGAAGCGCACGGGTAACGCCGCACCGGCCCGTTTAGCGACCGAATTCACACGGTGGGCGTCTGGGCGAGTGACGATTCGGCCCGGCTGCAGCCTGCTGGTGTAACGTGGGGAACAGCCGGATCCTCCGAGGACATGAGCCCGTGCCATGCCGGTGCCGCCGTGTCAGTGGCAATGTTTTAAATCTCCGCTATAGCTGTCGCTATAGCCCGCTATAGTCTTTTAAGGTAGAGTGTCGTTATTTGTGTTCATATACAATTTAGTCGCTATATCCTGTTGTAGCCTGATTTAGCTTCGCTATTAGCCGATTTAGACACTACTAGAGAACAGACTTTAGAACGATGTCCTAATTTAGCATTAGCCTCGGCATTTTTTGCCCCCGGGACTAAGGACCCTTTAGTCCCGGTTGATAATCTCAACCGGGACTAAAGGTCCCGCCCATAATGGTCGTCCATGAGGCGAGGATCTTTAGTCCCATTTGGTATTACCAACCGGGGACTAAAGGTTCCTTTAGTCGGTTGGTAATACCGGTAGAGACTAAAGCTTTTAGTCCTGGTTTGGGTTATTCCCGGGAATAAAGATTAATATTTAGTCCGGTTTGGACCCCTAACCGGGACTAATTATTCCGACCTATAATTCTGCTCAATTCTTCCTCCCCGAGCCCGAGCCATTCCATTATTCAAACTCTTTGCCTCTGTTCTTGACTTCTTTGTTGTTCTTGCACTCTCCCCTCCATTGGGTGTTGCTCTTGATTTTGGAGGTAACAAACTTAATCCTCTTATGTTTTATCAAGTAGCTTATCTCATTTTGCAATGTAGATGCATGTGTAACTTTATATGTTGGACTTTATTATGATTTTATATGTCATTTTAGCTCAAAATCACATGATGATTTGCATATATGTTTGGATAAACAAAAGTTAAATTAGTTCATCAAAATCACGCCTCGCTCGTCCTCATTTGGAGCACGCGTCATTCTCGTCCCCGGTGGCTTACGTGATCTTAGAATTAATTTTTCCATGAAATGAAAAACTTAGAAAATTGTTAGAAAATCGTAGAAAATCCGTACTAGTTGAACTTGCGGACCGTGTTCATCTCGGCGAGCATGTTCTCTGCTGAAGCGATAACGGACGTCAAGGAGGAGCTTTGATTCTCGAGGAGGAGAGCGGCAGCGGTCGTGGAAGACCGTGTTTCCTTTCTCGTAGAATCGGAGCTCTTCCTAACCAAATACTGATGCCGTCCGGTGGAGAAATGCTCGCCGAGATGATCACGTAAGCAAGGTCAACTAATACTGATGGTTATTTATTGAAACATGTTTTTGAGCTATAATTTGATGGATATTTGAAAATATGAAATTTACACTAGTTTGCAAAAATAAGTATAGAAAGTAGATGACAATCATTATTGGATCCTCGGCCTCTCGTTAGGTTCTTGGAACGATCGAGGCCGAACTCCCTCTCTCATTATCTGCGGCAAGTGTAAGCGAAGATTGTGATGGAGTACCGAGTCAAGAGACGAGGGGACCCAACAAGGGTCGTGTTTTCTACAAGTGCCGGATCGCGATGTGAGTTTCTTACGCATTTTATAATTATGGCTAATTGACCTGCTTTTCTTGAATATTTTTGACTAAATATTTTTGGCTTTAATTTCGGTGGGAGGACAATGGATGCGATGGTTGGTCTTTGGGAGGAAGATTATGCTACATACGTGCAGAATTTGGGTGCGCTTGAGGTAGCGGATGCTGCTGATGAGGCAGTGAGCCAGCAGGAGAAGCTTATTGATATTCAACAGAAGAATGATTTATGTCTGTTTTAGTTGCGCATTCGATCACAAAATAATTATGTTCTTGAAGTGCATTGTAGTTTTAGTTTGTTTAGTGATAGTTGTGATTGCTTACGTTGTAGCCGAGCTTAGTTAATTAATCAACCGTGTGTGTGTCATTTATGTTGTGTAATAAAATACTTAATTATGTTCAAGGTTTTCATAATTTATCGTGTAATCTGATTATGTCACGCCATTGGATGTACAATGCCGATCGCCGCTCCCAAGACTTTATAGAGGGCTTGCACTATTTCTTAGGTGTGGCCGAGGCAAATAAGCGGGATGGTTTCATATCTTTGTCCATGTGCCCTATGTAAGAATTTAAAGGAATATTCAAGCTCAATGAGTCTTCATTCACATTTGCTTAAGTCAGGTTTCATGTCAAACTATATATGTTGGACTAAGCATGGAGAAAGCGGGGTCATGATGGAAGAAGGTGAAGGAGAAGATTTAGACATTGATGACATTATTGCTCAGTATGGTGCCTTTGATGATACTACAATGGGGGGAGATGAAGAAGAGGTAGCGGTAGAAGATGATCTCGGTGATGCTCTTGGCGATGCCATTCGTGATGCACAACAAGAATGGGAAAGTGAAAAAGAGAAAGTTAAGTTGGAGTGCATGCTTGAGGATCATAGGAAGTTGCTATACCCGACGGCCGAAGAGGGGCAAAAAAAGCTGGGTACAACACTGGAATTGCTACAGTGGAAGGCAAAGAATGGTGTATCCGATAAGGCATTTGGGAATTTATTAAACCTCATAAAGAAGATGCTTCCGAAGCCAAATGAATTGCCCACCACTACGTACGAAGCAAAAAAGGTTATCTGCCCTTTGGGATTAAAAATCCAGA